AATTCGTAAAACGCTTGGTTGTAGCTTAAAATCACTGGATGCCATTTGTGCAGGGAGAGCTGAGGTTTGTCACTGTCTCATTTCTTAATTGAAAAGAAAAGTTACTGAAGGGACCAATTTGTATTCCTCTGCAAACTGATTTAGGGCAGCATATAAATCATCTGGTGGGATAGGTAAACTTGCTCTTACCTTCATCACAGAAGATTGTCTTGCTTTATCCTTGCTTGGCTGTCTTTCCTCATTCACATTTCCCCTCATCGTGCTACTAGGGTAAACAAAATCTTCTGAAATTGTCCTGAGTTTCCCCTCCCCGACCTGTGCCATCCCTTGAGAGGGCAGAATCAACAGCTAGCAAAGAGCAGTGCTCAGGCAGCTCTTCCACCCAGAGGAGTGTGGATGGAAAGTCATTACTTAGATGCCCTGGGATACTTCCTTGCTGTGCCTTTAGGTTTTTTTTGTTGGTGGTGGTTGGTTGGTTTGTTTGTTTGTTAAATTCAGCTCCTGAAATAATTTCCTTGTACTATAGAGCTTGGAATACACTGTTACTCCCCCCTTCCTCCCTCAGGTCTCTTTCTCAGAGATAGATTCTTGTAGGGGTCTTGTACCAGTTGCAGTGCTGGGGCAGGCCTGGAGTGTTTTGCTTGGTCTCCTGAGGCACCTAGACAATGATGTTTAGGGAACTCTATAAAAATGGGGCAGGCATGGAGTGATTTTTCTTTCCCTTTGGTTATATCCTCCCTGCTTCTGGCATTTCTAGAGCTGCAGTTCCCTTCTTCTCCCTCCCTACCATGATGTCCGGCAGAGTGCTTCTGAATCCCTCATCTAAGAATTTGTATAAATAAGCAGGATTTTCTTGCAATAATGATGCAGGGTGGGGGGTACCTTTGGAAAATGTGCTGCAATTACATAATTGAGCTGTCCAGATTAATATTGCTTACATGGATTTGCTCTAGTAGCTTTTATTTGACTGGGAGTTACTCCAGTGGCAACCATGGTCAGACACTTAAATCATTTAGATACTTAAGTCATCACAGTTTTGGAAATGGTGATGTAATGAAAATAACAAGTCATTGATTTGCCGTCTGCGTGGAAAAAAAAAAATATCTGATATTTAGCGTGCAATGATGAATGGAAGAGCGAGCGGTGTGGAGATGTTGTGCTACAGCCATAAGCAAGCTGATCGGGCGCCACGAGGTGGCATGCTGAGAGGTAACACGCCTGGTTTTAATTTTTAATGTGCTAATTCAAATGGTTAGAAGTGATCTTTGTATATATAGGTGGATTTCTGTGTGGGTGTTGTATGCAGTTTTTAATCTTACAGGCAAAGTCATTTTGATAAAACAGCGTTGCGGTTAGAAATCCCCAGAGATGCTGACATGTCCATTTAATCTCTGAAGGGAAACGTATGGAAAGCGAGAGGAAAGCCGCTCCAAGCTTGATTTAATCACATGAGTCTTGCAAAAGTATAGCTTACTGCAAAAATTACTGGTAATCAGACATGCTGTCACAAACAGACAGCGAATGTATAAGTATAAAACACTTGCACCAGCCCCATCACAGGCCAGACAAAGAAGGTTTCAATGGGAGTTTGTATCCACAGATAATGGCTTAAAGTGGTAATTGATGCCAGCTGCATAAAATCACTAGGAAGGGCTCACCAGCTGCCTCTCTCCTCCAAGAAAAAAGGATGTACTTTTGTATTCCTTCATGAGAATGACAGTCTCTTGCCTCAATCGGTTTTAATTTTCCCCTTTTGTGATCCTGGCACCTCTGCAAACGGAGGGACTGTTAGTGGTGGTGGTGCAGTGTGTGTGTTGTCTGGAGGAGGTGAGGGACCTTCCATCCCTGAGGCCGGCTCACGTGTCCAAATCCCGGCTCACGTGTCCAAATCCTGGGACGGCCACTGAAACACCTCCCTCTGCACAGGAGGATCCCTGCCCTCCCTGCAGCGCGTCTGTCCGTAAGGGACCTGTGCGGAAATGGCCTTATCCGGTGAGATTTTTGGGTGGGATTCATCTCACCCTGATGAGAGACATCTGCAAGATTGGTGTCTGGATCTTGGCTAATGACCTCATCCTCCTTTTGTAGTTAGCGGGGAGAAGTAAACACTGGTAGGGCGCGCATTGTTTGGCCTCTTTCAGATGGCCACATTGGGATGAAATCAATTGTACCCTGGAAAAAAAAAGGTTCCTGAATCTGGAACAGAACAATTTTGGTCTGGCCACGTTTTTTTTTAATAATTTCTTTTTTTTTTTTAATCTTACACCAGTTGCTGTACCACAGCGGTACTGCAGCCTTCTCCATGCTGATTAATCCTCATGATAGTTCCTGTCGCCACAAAGTCTTCAGGACTCAGTGCTAGGGAGTTATCGATCCACACTAAGTAAGTGGAGACCTCCAAAGCCTGGCAAGAATTACTGAATCATTTATTTTTGTAGGCTGGAATTTGGACTGGCTTGAGCTGTAGGTGAGATGCTATTTGTGTTGTGGACAAATGCTCAATGACAGCTGAAATAGGAGTTTAGGACCATTATTAGCCTTAGTTAAGGGAGATGCTTGGGGTTGCTGCAGGCCGTTGAGCAGGTGCTTTGACACAGCCACAGGAAAACCTGAAAGAGCAGTAACTGCCTGCAGCCTGCGGGGTCTGGGTGCGCCGTTTTTTGTTGTTGTTTGTTCTTTGGGGTTTTTTTGGGGGGTGGGTTTTTTTCTTATTTTGTTTTTTTCAGAAATAGATCCTGTCTAAGCACTGTCATTTTGGCTGTTGTTACGATACATAAACGTGAACAACCTTTAGGACATCCTGCCCGTTGTATTGTAAAAGCTATTGAGTTCATGTGCTGAGGGTAGGAAATAATTCTTACATAAAAAGTCAGTACAAAATAGCAGATTAATCCAATTATACATATTAACCTATCAGTGATTAAGTCCCAAACCATTAAGTTTAACAAAGGTCCTATTACAGTTTCTTTGTCTAAATTCAAAGTTCAAAGTGGTAGTTTCTAGTATAAGTATGTGTTCTTCTTCTTGTGGTTGTTTTGGGTGGGGTTTTTTTGGTGGTTTTTTTTGTTTGTTTTTTTTTTTTTTTTTTTATACGGTTTTAAAAAATAAAAAAATCACACAAAGTCCCAAACCATTAAGTTTAACAAAGGTCCTATTACAGTTTCTTTGTCTAAATTCAAAGTTCAAAGTGGGGTAGTGTTTTATAAGAATGTGTTCTTCTTCTTGTGGTTGTTTTGGGTGGGGTTTTTTTGGTGGTTTTTTTTGTTTGTTTTTTTTTTTTTTTTTGCATACGGTCTAAATAAATAAAAAAATCACACAACAGCAAGGACAACAGAAGCAGCTGAGGAAGCACCGAGTTAGCTTTTGGCTCAAAAAGCTGCTGTGATAACGCTTTCTCCCAGGGCTACTGTCACTGGGAACCTTTATTTACAAGATTATTTTACTATTTTGTTCAGTGTTCCAGAAATACACAGTATTTTACTTTAAAGATGTGTCATGAGAAGATTTCAGAATAGTTTATCCCTGGTGCATTTTGGGAATTCTCTCACAATAATTTAGGAGGAAGCACTGCATCTCACTGTTAGTGTAATTGAAATAATTGTTTGCTTTGTAGCATAGGGTGGTTTCTTTTGCTAAAGCCATGCGTATCAGTGTGTATAAATAGTTAACGTGTACTTAGTATTAACATCTGCATATGTCATGAATAGGATATTTGATTGCTAGCGTGGTACAAATTGCAAGGAAGTTTAAGGCTTAAAATTTTCTCGTGTAATCAGCTTTGACATTACAAGATAATCAAAATATGTGCTACCGTTTCCATCAGCCAGCCACCCTAGGGAACAGAGGTTTCAGTTTCTTCCTGGAATCAATTTAAGGCAGACATTTTCCCCCTGGATATCTAAGGCTAGAAGCTTGTGGAGCGAATAAAGATTGTGCCTAAAGGGGTGAACCAGCTGCCTTTTCATTCGTTGCCTTGAGAGGTGCTAGATGAAGGCTCCCACTGTCTAGGTGTGGTAAGGGAGCGCTGCAGGTGGGATGGTGTCTGCTCCTTCTTCTCCGGTATCTGCTGGCTGCCTGCTCAGACATCACCTCAAAGCGTGCGCGGATCCTTCATGCAGCGCATCCTCCTGTCGCTTCACGAACGGATTGTGGGTGTTTTTAAGGAGTGGTTGTGTAGTGTTACCCATTTCAGCTCTTGGAAGGGATGACCTCCCTTCACCTGAGCTGCTCTCTGCTTGGCACCTCGCTGAGGCGGGGGGAGCCGGGGGAAATCCTTCCTCTGCCTTTGTGTCCCAGCATCCTGTTTACCGCCCGGGCTCCCAGCCCTCTCTTCCTGATGCACTTGCTCTTCCTGCACGGAGGCAGATGGAGGAGGAGGAGGAAACTTGTGCACGAGGCGAACGCCTTGTCCGTGCAGCGAGGGGAATTCCTGATCTCCACCTCTGCTTTCCTGCGCCAGCCCCGTGCTGGCATCGAGGGGGGACCCTGTGGTCCCCACCGTGGGGGGACCCACCTCGGAGGGCCCGCTTTGGCAGCCGGCTGTGCGGAGCCCCTGTCTGGCATTTAAATAGAACTGGTCGCAATTTTCAAAATTAAAGGAAAGAAAATGAGGAAGATGATGGAAATAATGCTCCTCTATCGTAAATTCACAGATTTTTCTGGTTTTCCAGTTCTCTGGGTTACGTAGAATAAAAGCCTGCTAGCTGTGTATTTGCTTAAGGTATTACAACCATAGGGTTTTTAAACAGATCCTGTCCCGCTTCATCATTGGAGCAAGTCCAGTGCATCCTTCGTTGGCTTTTTTGCACTACTGAAAACTTGAGAAAGTAAGGGTCTCTTTTAGACAGGATTTTGATGGCATGAATATAAGATGTTTTTACTGAGCATGATGCTGGTATAAATTGAACTTTTTAAAAATCTACTTGTGTGAAAGAGAAGAGGAAATAAATAATGCACGTGGTGTATCAAACATATGTTTTTTTCGTTTTTTTTTTCCAAAGGACGAAGAAGAAGAAATCAAACTGGAGATTAATATGCTAAAGAAATATTCTCATCATAGAAATATTGCAACTTACTATGGTGCTTTCATTAAGAAAAGTCCTCCAGGTCATGATGACCAACTGTGGGTAAGCAGATATTTCTCAAGCATGTTCATAAGTCTTTCCATTTTGGATATAGTTTGAGGATGACAGAAATATCACATTATGGAAAGGCAAACTAATAGAATTTGGTGCTTGCCTGAACAGATAGATAAGTGAATCACACGGGCTAATCATGCATCCTTAAGAGGATGGCTGAACCAAGATTTGCTATTAGCAATGGATTTGCTCTTTAAGTAACTTTTTTCCCCCCATTTCCCAGATGGATAGTGTAACATGTTTCGTGGGAACAAAGCAGATGAGCTGAGCAATAAGAATGTGCGGCTTTAAAAAGAAAGCTGCACTTGAGATTTGTACCCATTACATTTCTCATCCCACCTCATCTACACCCTCTAGAGGACTGAAGTTTGGGTTTGAAATGGCAGGGTACAGACATCAGTGTATGTTCTTCCATAAATAAATGGGAGGTAAAAAATAAGATGTGTTGCAATGGTATATCAGTTTGATTCTTTCAGCATTGGATGTGCTCTCACTCCTGTTGCTGCTAATGCATTTTGCATAGCTGAGCAAATCCAGATTCCTGGCATTAAATTACAGTGATTAAATCAGTCCTTGAAAATGTGGTAACTAATGTGAGACATATTCCATATATGTCTGACACACATTGGAGACATTTGGTTTGAATCCATTTTCCAGGCAGAGATGTAAAATAAATGATATTCTCTGCTTCACGAGGGTTTCCCAAATCAATGCTGCAACCTGATTATTTTGCTCCACTAGACAGCTGGGAACTGTGTTTAATGTTGGTTGTATGCTGATATTTGTTTTGCAGCTTGTTATGGAGTTTTGTGGAGCAGGCTCTATCACAGACCTTGTGAAGAACACGAAAGGGAATACTCTGAAAGAAGACTGGATAGCATATATCTCCAGAGAGATTCTCCGGGTAAGGAAAATTGTCTGCTCCACTTGAAAACACAGAAACAGTCTTACAGAGATGTAGCCTAGCTTGAGGTTCTGCAAGAAGCTGTTTCTGATCAATCCCATTAGCCATGTCATCGCTTGGAGAGTGCGTAGGAGCAGATAGATGTCTGCTCCACATCATTTAACTCGGTGTGAGTTGTACTGTATTGTAACAGCAGCCTTGCAGAAAATAGCAGTTTTTAGTCATGAGAAGCCAGCGGAAGAACCAGTGACCTTACCTATTGTAGAAGCTGTGAAACAGTGTCCGTAAGACACTTTTGAGAATCCTGAGGTTGTAACAGCGTCCTACCACAATAGGGTGCGGAATGGGCTTTTCCAAATGTGCTTGCAGCCGTCTTTCTCTGCTCCTAATCAAGTCTGTGGAGGAAGGGAGTTGTTGGCTCAGGCCAGCAGTCAGGACTTCTGTGCTGTGATGTGCTCGCATATTGTATATTCCTGCAGTCTATCTAGAGCAAGCAGCTACGTCGTATGTGGCTGTGCGCTGTAGAGTGCTGGCAGACGGTGCTGCAAAAGTTTCTTAGGAAGAGGGATGCTGCTTACCAGTTTTTCTAAAACTGAAGCTTTAACTAATTACTCTTCATATTTAATTTCCAGTTGGTACAGTTTAAGTGCTTTTTGAATTGGCATTTGTTTGCTGCGCTAAGTAAATCTGGTATGGTTTTCCTCGTGCTTCTTTGTAAAACAAATTGCCTCCTACCCATACCACTACACAGTATGTTTGTTCAATTGCCTCATCAGAAATGAAGTTCTGAAGGGCTTTATGTTAAAGGAAACCACCACTGGCTCTTGCATAAATCAGTGCTGCTGTTGTCTGTGTTACACATTTGCTCTGCCTTGGTGATTTTTAAGATGGGGAGGGAGGGAGATGTATGATTCTGGTCTCCCGCTCTAATGCCAAATGCTAGGAGAGAGTCCGGCTGCTGGCATTTCGGCTGGCACATTTTAAGTTGTTTACAAGGGAGAAGAAAAGTTGAATACCCGCTGATGGTTGTATTTCAAATCAAATGTATAGCATGCTTTAATATGAGGAAGGCTAACTTCTGCAGGACTGATCTTATGCTTGATTTGAGAACTGTGTGACCTTGGAGGTATTGCATGCTATGTTGCATTCATCCTAGGTTCTCCTTAGGTAAAGCAGTCACGCTCGCTGAGAAGAGGAAGAAAATGATTTACCTCAGAAAAGAGTTAGGCGAAAGCTATTTTGTCATTCCTGTGAGAGATTTGCAAAAGGAGCCTTAATTGCTTGCTAGCAGGAACTGGAATATCTGGAAAAAGGGAATGCTAAACTCACATTGCTATGAGACATTGCGAAACCTGATTTGACACCGAGCTTGTCAGAGACGGAGGAGAGAGGTTGTGTCACAGAAAGTTAAAATGAGCTAAAGTGCCAAAGATGGGCGCAGGTGGAGGCGCAGGTGAGGGTCGACCCAGTGGATCCCTCCGTGGTTGGAGGGGCCTGGGGACTGCAGGAGAATGGAGACGTGCCCCTCTCTCTCTGCCCAGCCCTTCGCAAACCCAGATGTCTTTTTTCAGTAAGGTTAGATGGTACTCTGGAGAGAACAGACAATTATCTCTCTCTCTGGCTGGGTCAGCGTAGCAGAAGGCTTTAAAAAGTATCCTGTGTGAAGCCATGGAAAAGACTTCATTCCTGTGGAAAATAAGACCACACTTAGCATTAGCAGCCAGTGAAGGGTCTCGGGGACATCAGCCGTTCACTTGATTCGCTTGTGACATGTGTGGGGAGGAGCTGTGGATGGTGGGGTTTTTTTGTCATGCTCATTAACTGTTTTTAAAAAAGAAAATAGCCCAATGGTTATGTAGGCAAACTGGTAAATGATCATTTAATGAAGAACATGTGTTAGGAAATATTTCTCTACAGCAACCACTACTCTCTTAACCTCTTGCAGCTGTAAAGGTTCTATTTCTTTATTTTTCATAAAACATTAAAAGCCTATGAGGGCAACACGAACAGGCAAGACAATCCCACCGGAGACTACAATTTTCCAAGCAGAGAGCTGAGGAGAAACCAAAATACAGGCAGTTGCTAAGAGGGTTGCCTGTTGTTCTCCCAATTACATTAGAGAGTAAAATGCAACATATGTCTTCCTCAGCCCTCCCTCCACATGGCTAACGCTTTGGGGCATGCATCCAGGTGCTGTCTCAACAAAAAGCACCGTATGCCAGGAGGTTTTGTTTCCTTTGGAAAGTATAATGCTCGTGCTTTCTTTTTTGCCTTTTTTTTTTTTTTGCATTTTTTTTTTCCAGAGGAACAATTATCTGGCTTCATATTTATGGAGGCTGGAGAAGAGAGCTGCAGCTTTGCAGCAGAGCTTTTGTTTGTCGTCAGTCGTCCCTCACCCTCAAACATAACTGCCAGTCCATCACCCTCCCACCCCCTTCTCGGGGGTGCATATATGCATGCTGATGCTGCCACCTTCGTCCCTCCACTCCCCTTCCCCAGACTAAATTCTGGGTGACCCTGTGTGTGTCAGATGTCCATGATGTACACCGACGCTGATGTCGTTTACAGTGTCATGGCATGGAGACTTCCTGGGAGCTGAACTTTCTTCATGTGACAGCTGAGAGGTGTTTGTACAGTGCAGATGTTGGGCTGTATTTAGGTACAGCGTGTGCATGACCTGGGGCCTGTGTCTCTGCTCGATTACCAAAAATTGTGCGGGTGGTGTGCTGCCAGAAGGCTCCCGCGGGTCCCATTGCACCCAGCTGCTGAGCAAGAGCCCGAGATGCAGTGGTATGGGCTTTGGGCGTGCTGAGTATGGGTAGCCTGTTGCTAAGCCAAAAGCCTAACTCTGAATGTCCTCTCCTTCCTCTCCTTAATGCAGGGGTTGGCACATCTTCATGCCCACCATGTGATTCACCGGGATATCAAAGGGCAAAATGTTTTGTTAACAGAGAACGCAGAAGTGAAACTCGGTAAGTAGACGCGCACGTACACTTCCTCATTCATTCAGCCTTTGTTTTCTGATGTTCCCAAACTGATTTTATCCTCCAAGAGCCCTGCGACATGTTCTGTAGCATGTGCACGCTGTCACTGCTCCCATGTGAATCGAGGCCCTGCACGTATTTCCTCCTGCTTTGGGAGGATGGCATGCATTTCATTAGAAGATGTTGGCTTTCATGCCGGAGTCAGCAAGGGGACTTTTTTTTGCCCCCCACCGAGCAGCGCGTGACTTGAGTTGGTTCTGATTCCCTTTATTCTGGACTCAGGAAGTGACGGGAGTCACTCTTTTATTTGGCTTTAATTAAAATAGCACCTGCTGTGCAGATTCTGGACACAAAACTACGATCTGGACGGCACACTCGAGGGAGCTGTGGCATCAAGTTCAAAATGTAGTTCCAGCTCTGGCATGCCTGCCGAAAACCATGCTCATCCCTGGCCTCTTCTCTCCCTTCCAAGTGGACAAACTCTTTTTTTCCTTCCCTCTAATCTGTCTCTTCCAGTTATTGCACACTTTAACCTTCTGTGTTTGTATCACGCTACATTCACCACCTTTTTTTGGTTAAATATAGAGCCATGCTGAAGCCCTCCCACCCAGCCCACATCCCTTCTGTTTTGCATTACACCTTCCTGCAGCACGAGGCATGGGAAGATGTCCCGGCTGCTGGAGGAGGAAGCTCTCAAGAGAGCTTTCCTCCTTTTGGTCCGAAGTGGAGCATGGTAGCTCCCAAACCATTGCTCCCACCAAGCTCATCTACACCAGTTCGTCAGCATCACTCAGATGATGGATGCAGTGAAGCTGACACAGCCCTCCTAGAGCAGTTGCAGTTACTGGTATAGAAAGGCATATGTCACTGTTGTGAGCGGGAGAACTGAAGGGAGGACAACACCCTTGTAATGTAATTGCCCTGTAATGGAATAGGCATCTCTTTTGCAACCTGTGTGCGTATGTGCTCAAAGTTGGCACATCTTGAATAATCCTCATCTTTTGCTCCTATGGACGCATCTGCTCTGTGCATTAGAGCAGAGAGCAATTTGCTGAGCAACAGATTATTGTTGCTGTCTGATTTTAGAGCAGTAGACAGCTGAAAAGGCGACATGTTTGCGCATGTGGTTTTCCCATAGCATAAGAGGTACCTTTGGGAAGCAACTCCCTGTCTATAAGCAAGGGTGCTTGGCTTCACCATTTGGGAAGGATATAGCCCTTCCTCAACCTCCCAGGCAGTATTTTTGCAGGTGTACGCTCCCTTCTGTACAGGCAGGCCGGTGAGAGGTGCAGGAGAAGTGGTTTTATGCTGCCGTGTCTCTTGATGCTTGTGGCCCAAGCCCGTTGCATGTGAACCACGAGGGCCCGGCTGCCTCAGTATTAATCATCATATTTCTCCTCAACATGGTCCTCCCACGTGGAACATTGACAGGGTTTTATTTCCAAATCACTTTAAAGAAGTAATCACTGCATTATTTTTCCCCTCTTACTTTATTTTACTCTTTTCCCACCCGCAGTGGATTTCGGTGTGAGCGCTCAGCTGGACAGGACAGTTGGCAGGAGAAACACTTTTATTGGAACTCCATACTGGATGGCTCCAGAAGTTATTGCCTGTGATGAAAATCCAGATGCTACGTATGATTACAGAGTAAGAGACTCCTGTTCACAGAAAAAAAACACCCCAACATACAAAAACCCTTACACTTGCAGTATGAACGTCCATGAACGATGGCAGTTTTTGAGACTTCTTATGTTTTGTAGGAGTAATATTATTTTGTGTAGGTACATTCTTATTACAGGAGTACAAGGTGTGGGTCACTGCCAAATTGTGACCTTAAACAGTTGCTGTTACTTGTATTATCATAGCTTCGAGACATAAGAAGTAGGACTTCAGTGTGCTGTCGGTGCTCAGAGAAGGCAAAAAAGAGTTTAACTGGAAACGCTCGTGTTCTCAATTTGTATAATGATTGTACTTTAAATTGTGTTAGACTATGTCCCGGTTATTGTAGTAACCCAGAACAATGCATTTTAGGTGTTGCCTTAAATAGAACCACCGTCTGGAGAGCCAGTGAAGTACAGAAGGAGCTCTTTAAACCATGCCTATTCCCGATGTCAAGATACATATACTTGTTGATAAAAATTTACCGAACACAACATTTCTCAACAAAAATAATTTTTTACATAGTTTGCTGTAAACCAAAGATTTAATTACTGCAAAACTACCCTTAAGAATATTATGTATGTGTATTTAAAGTTAGATTTCTCTAGTGAAAGCATCCTGTAATCTTAAAAGTTGTTCTCAGCTTGCTTTAATGAAAGCACAAGGAAAGAAAAAATGTGAAAATGTGCTTTTTAAAAAATCTTCACTTACCCTAATGTAGTTGTTCCGACTTTTAACCAAGAAGGGCAACAAAGATATCAGAAAACCTGTGATTAAGGCCTTACAATGAATTTTAGAGCCGAATATCAATTATATCAATTTGCTGAGATTGATAGTGGTGTTATCTACCAGTATGTTTGTGTATGTCTACATCTATTTAAAAAACCCAGATTATTTGAATTGGTGGTTTTGTACCTTTTGACTAAGATTGATCAGATTGATCCTATTTCTCGTGATTTAATTGCTTTTTACATCCATCAGCTCATTGTACTAAAGGTGTAATGCTTTATATCTTTGCAGATGGAGTTATTAGGAAGGAAGGGTGGCTATTAAGTGATCTAATAAAGGACAAAAACTCTCTGCAATATTTGTTAATGCAGTAGTGATGTGAAAAATAACTCTTTCTGCCTCTGAAGACACCTGTTTATGGTTCCTGGTGGAGGCCGTAGAGCTCTCTCCCCCAGAAAATTCATGGTTGAAAGATTTTGTAAGATTGTGAGGCTGTGCAGTTTAGCTTAAATGGCTGGATTGGACCAAGAGAAAAGATTGCTTTGCTGGGTCTGAAAAGGCAATCGTTAGAAGGGCTTCTCTGGTTGTAGTACAAGAAGAGCTTATTTGCTCATTAGTTTTGACTAATTTTTTTTAAAAAGTCATTATTGTGACCAGAAACCAAGACTGCTTTGCTCAAGAGCAGCTCTCTTTCAGCAGCCTCCTCCAGTGTTTTGCCACTTAAGCTGCAGCAGTCTCTGGAATTGGTTCCTCGCTAGGACGCTTCCAGCTCCTGACTCTCGCCCAGGCTCTCCCTAGTCAGGGGCACTGGCCAGAGCGGCTCCCACTGAAGGACTCTTGTTCCATACAGTTTCAAGCAAAGCTAAGATGGTAGGGAAGGAACATTTGCTTTTGCTCCAAGCAATGTATGCAGCAGAGGCTTCTTGAAAGTTTAGCAGTGATGGCTATTTCCCTAGATAAAACTATTATTTGATTACTGGGACTAGAAAAAAGTTCAGGACTGGGTATATTTCACTAATCTGTATTTGTTTGTTTATTGTCTGGTTTAGACACTGAAAAAGACCTGCCAGGTTTGGGTTTTTTTACCCTGCAGTCATACCTCCATCTCTTGTTTGGGGGAATGGGTACAGCATTTTCTGTGAATCTACTCTAGGGAAATGTTCGGTCCTTTGTAAACAAGGATTGAAAGTTGTTGTTTCATAGACTTAGCTTTGGGGCCAATGTATTTTTCATTGTCCTAATGTGAATATGGTTTTGTGTGTTATTAGAAAGGGTTGTTTGCATACTCTGTATGAATACGTGCGTGCATTTATGTATATATATGTATTATATGACAAGTAGGATTTTATGATACTGTTACAAAAAAAAAGTAGCTTATATTATTTAAATAGCCTTGATATTTGGTTTCAGTCTCACCTACAGGGCCTCTGTAAATAGTACTGTCTTACTGTCTGAATGGGTAAATCCACCTACTAACATATGGTCTCTCTCTTTTTATGCAGAGTGACCTTTGGTCATGCGGCATTACAGCCATAGAGATGGCAGAAGGAGCTCCCCGTAAGTGATACATGTGCTTCTCCAGTGGGCTGATTAAGACTGAAACGTATACTTGGGAGATGCTGGTTGTAATCTAAGCCTAGTTTTGAGGTTTCTGAAAGTATCCTCATGTTATTTCTGTTCTCTTTGGTTTTGCCTGCCCTATAAATATAAAATCCCATAAATAGCAATGCTTTTGATAAAGATAGGATTGTGTTTAAGCACTACAGTGCAGACTGCAGTAATTTAATTTCTATAGCAGGAATATTTGGAAGCTAATCGAGCAGCAGACTTCCTTCCTATGGGTAGTATATTGTGTTTTGGAGTTGTGTCCCAATTTGTGTATGGCCTGGCCTGGGATGCTGAAACCTCAACCGGGGAGAGGTGCAGTGGGGCCTCGAGAAATCTGACCTTGATGAAAAAAGCGTCTGTAGCAATTATTTTTGTGTCGGCTTTCCGTCAGTCTGGGTAATGCTAACATTGCTTCTCCTTTTGTTTCCCCTCATTGGTGGGCGGTGTTGATCTTCCTTAGCAGTGGCATGACTTAAACTGTAAATCCGTTTTCAGCTCAGAATATTGAACTTAATGCTCCCTGCTTGAGAATGCTCATCAGTTGATATGGGTATTTTTGAGACAGAAACCTGGAAACCAAAAACGCACAGCTTTTTTATATCTTATTTTCCCCTCACATATTTATTCTTTTTGAATATCAAGGCAGACAGCATATATGTGCGAGGAAGACAGGATTTAAAAAGAAAAGAAATTAGGCATGATGTTTTGGCTTTCAATGGTAATTTTTGTGAAAATCCTTATTGAACTAGCAAATGTGCTTACCCCCAACCCCAACTGGAGCTCTGTATTTAAAAAATAACAGCCTAAGGTACCTAAGAGTGAGTTATTTTTTTTACATGTAAACAACCACCACACCACAGCCCAGCTTGGAAGTTCTGTCTTTGAAATAATCTGTTGAAATGAAGTATTGATATTTTCCTAGCTAAAAAATGGTCATTTCATAATAGCCGCTGCCTGATTTTTTTGTTGTTGTTGTTAATGTAAAATTTATAAGTCGAAGAACAACGCTCTTGTTTTGATTCATGTTTTAAGAGGTCTTATGGTTTGGTTTTGTTTTTTTTTTTCTTCCTAATTGCACATTTGCATGAATGCCTGTGTGAGAGCTGCTCCCAGGACACCTCAGCCAGCGCTGTATTAACAGCGTTTGAGCTACCACTTGACCTCCTTTTTGCTGTACCTTTTTGCTCAGTGCATTGGGTTGCCTGGGTGGCTCTCAATTAAAAGCGGTCTCTGTGGGTTTTGTAAGCCTGGAATTAGACAATAATATTTTTTCATTTCCAAACCGAAGCAGAGCTTAGCCTCTCTTTTTGTAAAAGCACAAGAGGGGTATTTGAGCAGTAAGCAAAGATCCAATGTAAATGCTGAACAGCTCTTGCCTTGCTCCGTCCCCTGGCATGTGGGCTCTGCCTCCTCCTTCAGCGATGGCAGAAGGGTCCATCTCTAAGCTTGGTGGTCTGATGGGATCCACAGGCATCCAAGGGCCTTTTCTGCTGAGGTTGTGGTCCCTTATTTCTGCATCCAGAGTCCTCTTCACATCAGTCTGTTTCTCCTGAATTTCTGCTGTGTTGAAAACGTTAGCTCTTACTGCAGCGATCATTCAGGCTGAGACTGATGGTGCAAGACGTCAACCATAGGACGATGGTAAAAACAGAGGATTTGCTTCTAATATCCTTTTTTGGACAGCCTCCCTCCCAGCTCTCATTTCCCTCCGTTGGCTTTGCCGTGGTGCTTTTGCTCCAGAGCAGGAGGAAAATCTGTCCTTAATGGACTCCCACTAAGTGTTCGCCAAAACCAAGTGTACTTCTTTTGACAAAAGCCGTAGGTTTGCATTTTGGTTCCGCAGGGAATCCTTTTTTCGATACAGACCCTCTCATGCTTCAAAAACATCAGGCCTTGGCATAGAGAAAAGCTCCAAGTTGGGAGGAAAAAAAAAAAAGAAGCATCCTACCTTAGTTGCCTGCATAGTGGGAGAGGAGGGCAGGTGGAGCGAAGTTTGTTTGAAACAGTAACTGTGTCATTCTTCCCTTCTGCCATCATCTTCTCCCAATATTTTATTGACTGGAACATAAGTTATATGACATGGGGCTGGAGCAGGGCTGCGCGCAGATGTTCCCATCGTGGTTGAGTCTGAAGGTTAATGAATGCCTTGATCTCTTTCTCTTTTTGGGGCCACCCTTGGCACATTGAGCTGTGGAATTGTTGTCATTTCAGGCTAATTCCATTTAGTTGTGTTGCTGTCTGCATCTGCTGCATGTGCAGTCGGGAGGGTGGGAATGGTTGGGGAAGCTGAAGCGGCGATATTGACAGAGAGCAACTAAGCCAACACATGTATGTTCCTGTTGGGTTTTGTTTTCTTTCCTTCAGCGCTTTGTGACATGCATCCCATGAGGGCACTCTTTCTGATACCCAGGAACCCTCCCCCACGGTTAAAATCCAAGAAATGGTATGTATTAGTTGTATCTTGTTTGTAGCCCTTTTTGTAGCCTGATGCTTTCTTGTGTCTCATCACATGCTGTTTTGTTACCGCTTCCACAGAACTGTAAAGCAATTTAAGTTAGCAAAACTCACTCTGTTGTTATCTTCTGTGCCACTGAATCAAAGTATGAAATAAAAAGTGTGCGTTGTTTATTTAGTTCTCTTTGTCCCAGAGAAGTTTTATCTTGAATTGTGTGAAAATAAAAAACAAGCTTTTTTTCTTATAAAGCAGCATCTGTATTAAGGTGACAAATGGATCCATATTTTAAAAAATAAACTCCCGCAGCACTCTTAATATGCAGTATGTTTTCTCAGATGTATCATAACACAGAAACAGAACAGTACTATAGTGTTCTAGTTGCTAAGTTGAAAGGAGCTATTAAAACTAATGAAGGCTTTTACTATAATTATTGTAAACGATTGGAATTGAGTGTGCACTTCTTGCCAGCTGAGAAGAATCCATTAGTATTGGAGGATTTCCTCTCAGTTACTGGTTACAACTGGCACATATGAAGCAAAAATACTCTCTAGAAAGAGGTTTCATATAGATTGAATGTGATCAAAGGATGCTGTGATCCTGTCAAAATAATGAAGTGATTTGACTGCCTATTCAATGTCACTGTAATATAAGCTTGGCTTGCTTGCTGGGTTTGGTCTTTGCCTGGATTGACTTATTTATGCACTTGTACTGTCAAGGCATCCCTCTCCCTCTCTAATACTTGCTTTCTGCATGTTAAAGGAATAGAGGTGCATATATAGTATTTGCATAGGCCTTTCATTGACCTTTTTATTTAGAATAATAACACTTAAGGCATGAGGAATTAAAAAAAAACAACACAAAAAACAGCAAAGTTACCTTGAATTCAGCCTCTTCGATTACAGTAGGAAAGTGAAGCGATGGATGGAAACCGTTGTCATTTTTACGCTTAACTGTGTAGTGGAGGTGTTTGCCACCCAAGCACGGGGACAGGTTGAGAGCACCTAGCAATCAAAAAGTGGCGCTGGCCAAAGCCAGAGCTGCTGTGACTCAGTTGTTTTGATAGTGTGCTCAGTAGCAGGTTATGAGAAAATAGGCCAAATGATGAAAAATCCGGTTTTGAATATTTCCATTATTGGCATTTTGCAAGGCTGCTTGTTCGGTGCCTTCTCTCTGGAGAGGTCCTCTTTCAGGTGTTCAAATGAAGTGCAAATTTAGGAAGGTGGTGCTCCAGCTTAGCTAACTCCCATAGCCTGTCACTTCATGTGGTGTGCAGGAGGAGCTCAGTTCAGTTCATGCCCTTAAATTGTGTCAGTGAGAATTTGACCCCAAGTGCCTGTGTTGAACATACAGCCCTGTTCGACACCTGCCCGTTGTTCTACGAGGATTTTTTTTGTGTGTGGCTCTTCAGGTAAAAAAGAAAATAATCTTAAATTCTCGCAGACCTATTTCAGGGAGCCCAGGTGCATACAAAAGCAGTGCGGTGCTGCTTCTGTTGGGAATGTTGGCTGCAGTTCTTGCAGCTTTTGGTACGGCTGTTCTGAAGCAGACGTGCCCTTAGATAGCATGGGCAGGTGGAGACACACCAGAGCTGCCCTGCCTGTGCTCCAAGCAAGCTGGATGCTACCCAGCTCTGGTCCAGAAGTAGCAGAGCTGGGTTTGCATGATTTGCGTTCACTAATAGATCCTGCCTTTCAGAGCAATTATGCCTGTGAAAGAGGGCACATTACTGTGAGGTTGTGCCTAAGCACTGCAGGTATGTTGGTACTGTCCTGTGTCCATCCAGCCCTGTGTCCATCCAGCCCAGTGCTCAGCTGGAGCATGCTAAGCTCTGTTTAGGAGGCACATTTGCAGACAGCACCTGTACCATCCTCTGGGATGTGATGCTTTTTGAGGAAAGGAATTAGACTTTGAGGAAGAACAGAAAAAATGTTTGAGTTAAGTTTTACCTGTGATCTTGTTTTGGTTTTTTTTCCCCTCTCTGCTTTCTCAGGTCAAAAAAGTTTTTCAGCTTTATAGAAGGTTGTCTAGTGAAGAATTACATGCAGCGACCTTCTACAGAACAACTCTTGAAACATCCCTTTATACGTGACCAACCGAATGAAAGGCAAGTCCGAATCCAGCTTAAGGACCATATAGACAGGACCAGGAAGAAGAGAGGAGAGAAAGGTATGCAGCTTCTAAAAATCAAGTATTGCAGCTTGTTAAAAATACATATTTTTGTCCTGCTTTGCATTCTAAATCCCCACCCCTAGAAAAGGTCCAAACACCTGAAACCCTTGAAAGGTTCTTTTTTAATTCATGTTTTGACTATCAGCAGGCTTCTAGGTTTCTTTTCTGTCCTCTACAGTGAAAGTATCAATTTCAAGTCTTATTTTCAGATAAGTTAAATTTACTCGCTTCTGGGCCGCTGCCTCTTCCATACAAATGTTAAACAGGATTTTGGAGGATATTGGCATATATATATGCCTTTCCCTTTTTTGGTCTGTGGTAGGTTCATTCCTGGAATGGTGCCATAAATCAGGCTCGCAGGAAATAACCCATCACAAGAGCTATGAAGCAAATGTCTTGAGCAGCCTGTTCTCTTTATTCAGGTGGTGCTGAGGTTCTCCAGGTGTCTTATCTTACATATAAAACCTGGTGTCATTCGGGAAATTTGCTGAAAGTCTGCTGCAAAGCACTGTTCCGCTTTGCAAGTGTGGGAAGATGGGCTTGTATATGTAGAAATGAGTTCTAGGGTCTGTGATAGATCTTCTCACTGAAGAGGATAAGAACATGTTCAGTAAGGCGCTACTGCAACTCCCCGCTGTCCTAAAATTAAAGATAAGCACTATCTAGGCCTTTGTTTCTTTCCCATTAGATGAAACAGAGTACGAATATAGTGGAAGTGAGGAAGAAGAGGAGGAAGTGCCTGAACAAGAAGGAGAGCCAAGGTAATAATTGCTTTTGGGAGGGCTTTGGGTAGTCCATGCCAAGTAAGTCTAAAGGTCTGTGACTATAAATCAGGAGCATGCTAAATTTCTGTCTCTTATTAAGTTCACGCACAAGCCACACAAACCACCCAAAGGGTTTCAGTATCTATTCTCTGACTGCTAAAGGTTTTAGAGTTCCCTCTCATGCGGCTTAGAGCCAGCAATCTCTGGATGGAGGGAGATTTATGGCAAATATGATTGGTCAGGGGCTCCACAATGTCAGACCTGGCCCTTATTTTGCTTGGCCTCATTTCACGCCTTGCACTGAGAGGGTGTATTTGACATGCATCCAGTGTCTTTGCTCCGAAAGAAACAAGATTAAAATTTAACATCATACTATATTTTATTAATGTTCCCCTGCTTTGGAAAAGGTATTTAATGGCCCATCAGGCTTTATGGTACGGGAGGCTTTAACTTCCTCTTGTTGCAGTTCCATTGTCAATGTGCCTGGAGAATCAACCCTCCGACGTGATTTCCTGAGACTACAGCAGGAAAACAAGGAACGGTCCGAGGCCCTTCGGAGACAGCAGCTGCTGCAGGAGCAGCAGCTCCGCGAGCAGGAGGAGTACAAGAGGCAGCTGCTGGCAGAGAGGCAGAAGCGCATCGAGCAGCAGAAGGAGCAAAGGAGGCGGCTAGAAGAGGTAGAGACAGGAGGCTGGAGCTTGGGGGACAAAACAGCCCCTCTTCTGTTTCTGTTTCCCATTCCCATATCCATTTAAAAGGAGTTCCCTGTAGCCCCAGCACATCTCAGGAAAGAAAACAACGTTTGCAAGTCCACTGGCAAACGTAGAGCAAAGCACTTAAATCCATGTCTGGCTACTTGAGTATGAGCTGTCTTCCAAAGCATTTGAATATCCAGCAGCTCCTATGGAGGCAACAGGAGCCAAAGCTGGGTTGTTTGAAGGTATATGGGGGGAGGCTGTGTCTTGGTCTCTGTTCCAAAGAAGAGGCAACATGTCTAGACTTTAGGTAGCTGTAGAGAAGGGGAGACATTAATTATTCCCAGATGGATTTTTTTCCTCAAGATTACTTTTTTTGGGGCCATGACATGCTTCAAATTTCCCTTTAAAGCTTTCTCAAACATCTGTGTTTGGCACTCATTCATGGTAGGTAGAAGCCCATTTTTTTTATGTATTACTCTCTCATGCATAGTAGCATGATGACTAAAAGCCTCCTAGATTTATAAATATGATATATAAATCAGTGTTAAAATTATATTTTTGCAAAAATTACAAATATGCAAATCATACTTTTGTGATATGGGAAGTATGCAATTTGCATACACTACCTGAAGATAAAAGAAAATGAATGTACATGTACAATATTGTTCTGTCATACTTTTGACTCCTAAAATCTTGTGTGCGTTTATATGTATGTAGATGGGATATGCTGTGTGAGCTTCAGAGGTAGGAGGATTTCAAAACAGTTCTTCAGGCCAGAGCTGGATATGACACAGAGCTGAAGTGAAACCAATCCTCTGGCTCCTTAGGAAGTGCAGGGTCAAATTCCAGTCATCCTTAAATGACCTCTCGCTTGAGTCACTGTTTCAACTGTTCACTTAGCAGTGATGGAAAAACTACACCCAGTCTGGTTTTCCAAATCCTGGTAATGTTTAACGAGGGCGCAACCAGGACCAAATGTTGATTTGCATCCCATGATGCGTTGACATAACAAATAATACAAAATTCCAAATGGCTTTCCAGGTCACATTATGCTCCTTATCCCTCTTTTTCAACGTGCAAGTGAGTTTAGTGCTGCTGTAAGGAGGGATTGGTAGCAAAGACTCAGCCACGCATGAAGCCAGGAAGAAGGGACAAGGGGGAGGCATATAAACTCCATTTCTCTTCTGTTTCTTCCCCACCCTTCTGAGATTGCCAATATAAACGTCGTAGCTCTTCCAACTGTTTTTAGACTCCGGCTCTATAGTGATTTTGCGGGGGAAGCACATAATAAAAAGAGGCTAGGAAAATATGGAAATAAAATGTTTTATTGATATTGTCAAAGGTGGACAAAAGTTGAGGTACTGCTTAGCCTCTAAAATTTTTCTTAGTATGGTAGTGAATGAATTCTTTTAAACGCCCCTTTAATCTCTAAGGTTCTGCAGGCAGCACTTTTTTGGTGAGGAAGGGGGTTACGATTAAATTATCTAGGTCGTTTAACTTTAGTAATCAGTGCAACCTTTAAAATCTGGAATTTCTTTTTATAATGAAGGAGATGCTGCTGCTAGTAATGGAAGCAAAGCAATACACCTCTTTGCTGCACAGGTTGAACTTTTTGGGGGTGTTGCAGAAATCATAATTTAATGAGCAATTAAAAAGAAAAGGCAGTTACCTGAAAGTTATGTTTAATCAGTCCTGCTTTTTAAAATACAAAGCAGAACCAACAACTTCAGCAACCACAAGACGGCATGTAATGTAGGTTGATGTATTACTGAATAAGGTTACACAGTAAACCATGTAAAATTTGTAAGAGAAAAGCTTTTACCGTTTATTGAGTCTATAACCTCAGCCTAGTTCCCTTAGAAACATAAATATGAATGATGAGCTATAAAGGTTTCCTTTTGCAGGTGATGGGGCAGGCATATTGTTCTTAAAGTGAACTAAAAAAAGGGCTCACATTGAGTTTTCAAAAAAACCTACTTAGTTTGTTGGATCTTGTGTTGGAAAAATACATGATCCCAAGTGATTTTTAACAAAACAGCGAAAACAAGCTCTTTAAGATGGGGGAAGGGTGGTAGACACATATTTAGATAAACATCAGTGTTGTGACACAATTGAAGGCCAAAATATTGAAATGTTGTCACTTTGTCCTTAACTCACCCCCCTGTTTTCATGTAGCCAGTAAACAATGCAAAACTTGGTAATAGGAGTTAAGATTAGTGTCAGGCATTGAATCTCTGGGCTTGCATCAGTTTATTGACATTTTTACCAAGTCTTACTTTCTTGTAATTTTTCCTTGTGTAGAGTAAGGTATGTGTGTTGGGGTATACCTGTCTGACGTTCTTCAGGAAGAATTTAACGCAGTAGATAATCTCCCTGGACAAGTTGCTTATTCTCTCCCCGCGCGCGCCCCC